TCACTATCACGAGAACAGCATGGGAAAGACCTGCCCCCACGATTCAATTGCCTCCCACCAGGTCCCTCCCATGACACGTGGGAATTATGGGAGCTACAATTCAAGATGAGATTTGGGTGGGGACACAGCCAACACCATACCACATAGATACTGCACATGCATGGTTTCATTATCTACCCTGTGAGGTAGGTGCTATTATGATGCCCATTTTACTGATGAGGAAACGGAGGCTTAGCAGGGTAAAGTCAGCAAAGAAAAATTTGTCTCTTGAGTTTTCTCCTATGCTATGAGGAGCACTGTTTGTTTGCTGTGTGACCTTGGGAAAATGATAACTTTCTGGGGCTCACTCAGTTTCTTGGTCCATAGAATGGTTTTAGGGATGGGCGAATGCAGGGTGGTAGGCAAGAGGTTAATCAGCAGTGGCATCATGACAAAAGCCCTGGAGGTGGGGTCAACAGACCCAAGCTCTTCCTAGCCAGGTATTGTGAGATGCAGAGATGATTCATGTAAAGCATCTCTACGCACATGGTAGGTGCTCAATTAATAGATGTCATTCTTATGGATTATGTTGGTAACCAGTGACTACTTAGGTCTGCAGCCTTCTGTTCTTCCACACTTCTCTCTGAATCACCAAGTTACTGCCAGGCACACTCAATCTTCTGGCTTTCTTAGAATTAATGTTTTAAGGAAGGAAATTTTTCTGCTTAACTGGCTCTGCCTGAGGGTAGGTATGGACGAAAGTTGAGCGGAGGGCGAGTTTACGTGCCAGGTCCCTGGCCCCAACGCCTCATCTCTTATTATTTGCATTTTGGTTTCAGTTTCGCCCCTGCCTCCTTCAGCTTTTTCATTTGCCTTCTGTCGTTTGCCAACATCCAATCTGTTTGGAGAAAACAGCACCGAGCAATTGGATCACGTCGGGGCCTTGGGAGCCAGGGACTTGGCGCCCTGTCTGTCGTGGTTTCCTTATATGACCTTCGACATTTTCACTGTGCAGGCCAGCTATTTCTGACCCTCTTAAGTGAGATAAATTCCGCAGTGTAAATTCACTGCTTTCCCGGTGGTATGTTTTTGGATTTGGGAAAAGTGTCTGATTTGCACTCCTGGCAGGAAACAGGAGGAAGATGGAAGCGTCTGCGTCCCCGGATGCTTTGAAACCCCACGGCACAAAAACAAAGCTAAAACAACCCCCTTTCTCCCAAAACACAACTCCAAAAGCAGAAACTCCCACGGTACAAGCAGCATTCACACGCCAAAGTAACATTATGTTTCCTCCATGGCTGAAAATAATTTTGTCCAACTTACAGAATCACAAAGACAGAGAGGCAGCTGTGAGGAGCATGGGCTTCAGAGTCAGCCTGATGGGCCATGGATACCCGTGTGTCACCGCCTGGCAGGGGGCCCTTCAGTAAGTCATTTTACTCCTCTGAGCCTCAGAGTAGTCACTGGGCAATGGGAATAATGACATGCACTTCCCTCAGTCTTGGGGAGGGGATTAAACAAGATGCTGTAGGTATGTATTTATTTTTGAGACAGGATCTCGCTCTGTCGCCCAGGGAGGAGTACAGTGGCTTGATCACGGCTCACTGCAGCCTTGACCTCCCAGGCTCTAGTGATACTCTTACCTCAGCCTCTGGAGCAGCTAGGACCACAGGCATGTACCACCATGCCTTGCTAATTTTTAAATTGTTTGAAGGGACCGGGTTTTACTATGTGGCCCAGGCTAGTTTTGAATTCCTGGGCTAAAGTGATCCTCCTGCCTCGGTCTCCCAAAGTGCAGGGCTTACAGGTGTAAGCCACCATGCCCACAAGATGCTGTGTTTCCAGGGGCTGACGGTACTATGCTGGAGCTCAGGGCCTGTGGGATTCTCTAATCTTTTGGGACTCTAGAGGACACACATCTCTGTGATAATCCACAATAGTTACTAACATTCCCCATTCCCCAAATGTACACATAAACATGAAAACCTCCCCTTGAGCCTGGATTAAGAACCCATGATCTAAACTATCCCTTCATTTTCATTTTTTTGTTTTGTTTTATTCTTTTTTTGTTTTTTTTTGTTTTTTTTTTTGTTTGTGGAGAACAAGGTCTTGCTATGTTGCCCAGGCAGGTCTCGAACTCCTGGGCTCAAGCAATCCTCCTGCCTCTGCCTCCCTAACTGCTGGGATTACAGGCTGAGCCACCACACCTGGCCTACCCTTTTGGGTTTGTTTGTTTGTTTGTTTGTTTGTTTGTTTTGGAGATGGAGTCTCGCTCTGTCGCCCAGGCTGGAGTGCAGTGGTGCGATCTCGGCTCATTGCAAGCTCAGCCTCCTGGGTTCACACCATTCTCCTGCCTCAGCCTCCCGAGTAGCTGGGACCACAGGCACCCGCCACCACACCCAGCTAATTTTTTTGTATTTTTAGTAGAGACAGGATTTCACTGTGTGTGTCAGGATGGTCTCGATCTC